GGGGAGAAAAAAAATCTTTTATGGTAAAAAATTCACTATATAAGTATTTATTATTTTCACAAACAATTAAGAAATTTGATTTCCTCACTCGCATGAAATCTTACATTCGTATAAAAATATTAAGAGTAAATAATACAGATAGTTCTTATACTACAACCTTTGTATCATTTTAGCTCCTATAATTTCAATTAGATTATTTTTTAATTTAAATTTATGATTTTGTCTCAATTTATTCCAATTGATAACAATTTCTCATATATTTTTTATGAACAATGTGCATATAAGCGACATAGGTCATGCTTTTATAGATAAAATTAAAAACTTGTGTAATTTAATAATTTAACATCAATCAACTCAGTGATTTTTTTTTTCAAAAACCCTAATCGGCGTTATAATTATACCAAATTGATACAAAATCTAAAATTAAGAATAAAAGTTAAGCTAATTGAAATGACAAATAATAAGATGACACAGGATAAAATGTAGACACTACCGATAAAATTTGTCCAAATATTAGCCATGAAAGAATAAAAAATAGTTGAACCCATAATATTTTAAAAAATAAATTACACCGACACCTATAGATTGTCCCTTGACATTTAAGAAATTACGCTACACCCTAAGATTTCAATTTTCCTTACAATTTTTTCCCCTTCTATTAATCCCCATTAGGAGACCTTGCAAATTCTGGATAACATCATAAATAAAAACCATTAAAATATCAATTATAACCCTCAACCCAAATGATGAAGACTTTGGATGATTTGGTAATGTAATTAGTGCCTTAAATTAACGTTTGGAGACTTATATGTAAATCCTAATAGGTGGACTTATTGTCCAATAGATCCTGTGAGAATTCATAGCATTTTTCATCAAACACTATTAAAAAATATCACTAAATTTAAATTTTCAGTGACAGTTTCAAAATTGTAACAAAAAATGTCACTGATTATAAGTTTTAGCGACAGTTTAAAAAAATCGTCACAAAAAAGTCATTAATTTTTAACTTTCAACGACAATTTAAAAAATTGGTCACAGAAAAATGTTACTAATTATAAGTTTTAGCGACAATTTATAAAAACCGTGACAAAAAATCCTTTATTGTCAATTTTTAGCGACATATGCAAAAATCGTCACAACAATTATTTTTAGTGACGATTTTATTAGGACTTATTTTCAATAAAACTTAATGGGAATTAAATCCAATATTCATAATTTATCTTAAAGGATTTATGTAAATACTCTGTTTCAGGGTTGGCCACAATGACACTGAAGAAAACAATTGTTGGTAGTTTTTTCTTACATAATTGTGGGTAAGGGGTTTGGTAATTTGTCCTCATGTAATGATGGGTAAAATTATATGTGTTTGGTTGTGGATTTTTAAACACAGTTTTTTAAAAATTTTATACAACCTATTTGGTTATTTTGAAAAATGAGTTCCGTTTTCAAAAAATGATATTTTCAGGATTTGGCCTCTTCCTTATAGCCTCTTCCTTGCCCGTTTATTACCTTTACCAAACCTTTTCCACAGTTGGCTTCTGTTGATATGCCAAGGTCAACAACACCAGAGCAACGACAACGGCCACCGACGAAGACGCTATTTAGGTGTGGTCGATTTGAGCTGTGAGTGACGAAGATCAGACGACGAAAAGGTTAGTCATTTGGATTGTGGATCATCATGTTTTCATTTCATCTCCATTTCCCCTTTCAATTTTGATTTTCATTCTTCTTAATAAATTTGTAAGAAATGAAATTTTGTCCAACATAGAAATGATTTATACACCAAATCCCTCGTTTAATTTGAAAATCCCTTTCAGTTCGCTGCTTTGATTTCGGAAATTAATTTCATCATTTGAAACGAAAAGAAATTTCTGATTCACAAGCATCTGGTTTCGATTTTAGAATGTAAGTTCCACATTTCGGACATATGAAGCACAGATTTTCTACTTTTCATTTGGAAAATTAGCTTCATCATATTGCAATGTGGTCACAGTTTCCCTTTTCGCAACTGAGGTTTCAAAATCGCTATTTAAGTCCTCCATTTTCGAATTAAAGCAGAATTTTTTGGGGATACATTCTTCTGGTTTGGTGTATAAATCTGAGGCTTGAGTAAGTTTTTAGTACAACTTACTAAAATATCAAGAACACAAGCCCACCACAAAATGGATTTTATGAAACTTGTTTATACAACATTTTCTGGTTGATTCTCACCCATTTTCTTAATGAAATTTTACACATAAATTCAATTACTGGTTTCCTCTCTTTTTTTGAACCTAAGTCTTATATTTGGGTTATCTAAAATATCTCATACTTGCTTATGTCTTCACAAAAAACAATCCAAACAAAACTATGAATGAAAAGGTGTGACTGATAAGAAATATGATTCACATCAAACAAAAAATAGAGAGAGCCACCTTAATTGCCTTACAGATCATTTTTATGAGTACTGTGATGTCACTTAGTATCATACAGTTGAGCAAAAAAAAGATAGAAATTGAATTTTGGCCTTTCTTGATTTCCTTAAACCAACCAGCTATTTTCCGTTGTGTTCTGCATCCTGTAAAATATGTAGCAGACTTGGTAAACAATACTGTTCTGTCTTAGGGTGTATTTCAATCATGAATTTGGATACAAAATTGTGTGTGAATTCCCTACCGAATATAGTACATCTCATATTGTGTTTTTGGAACTTGTTTTGACCAAGACTTTATTTCAAACACATCATTTGGATGGTTACTATCATTGACTTCCATTTTGATTTACTAAATTCCATTTCTCATAATATGTTGATAAACCATCCAAAAGAGCATAGAAAACATTATTCAATTTTCTTTATAGCTTTCTCTCCTCCAACAGGAAGTTGCACTTATTTCTTTACTTTTATTGTTGTCATCGTTGTTGATGTGGTGACACCGTCAATTTCTTGTGGTCGATTCGATCTCCTCTCAAGAGTCGCGAGGCAAGGAGTAAGCTCTTTCAACCCTTGTAATTGTATTCCATGTATTTTTCGACAACATATTGTTCATTCATATCATAATGTTATCGTCCATCTACTAAACAACAATGAACACGAGGACCCCCATTTACTAAAGTACACTGTACAGTTCATTTACAAGGACCCCCATTTACTGTAGAAGCTTTCAAGACGAAGCAACAGACAGGACACACATCGGACTCTATGTGGTGAAAACGATGTGGAGGTAAATATTACTCCGCTGAATTTTGTAAATGTGTTACATGCATTGTTTAGCAAAACATGAATGCATTCCAAAAAGCTTACTCTATTCACCGATTTTTTTTTTTTTGTACACAGAATATTACATTCTACCAAACCTTCTTGTTTACACATACGGAATACCCGTATAAATGTTAAGACATGTCTATTAAACTTGCTTTGGATAGTTGCAACTTATGCTATAAAATTAGTTGCCATATGCAACATGTCACTACTGTTGCAAACGAAAAAAACTTTTATCCGTGTAGTACTCTACAATTGTATTTGTACAGACATGTTCCTTTTATTTTTCTTGCGTAAACAACTCGCTTAACATTTCTGTTCGAAGTTGTAACTTGGTATTTTTAAGAAGTTAGAGCTCATCACTTAAGTAAACCCATGACTTACTTCACACGTGTAATACGTGTATGTCACAAATGGACAGTGAAGGGTTCGTTGAGAATGCGCAAGACCTGAGGTTGTGGCCAAGCAGGAGGATTGAGTTGGCCAAGACCCTTCGTTAACCAAAAAAAACTCTTTCACCACAAGGCATTGGAGTCGGATTGACGATGAGCTGTACAATCAGTTCAAAGTTAGGTACACGGTTAACCGTTTGAAACAAAAGTACCACCGCATCAGGCAAGCTTACAATACATTTGTGAAAGTGAAGAACCATACGGGGTTCAGCTGGGACGACTAGAGGAAAACGGTCGTGGCCCCGGATGATGTTTGGGATCAATATGTTAAGGTAACTACCACCACCTTAGATTTGAGTACAACCTTTGTACTGTAGTATGTTAACTGTTAAGTGACTTATTTTCCACATCTTTTGTTGTCTTATTTTTGTAGGCACATCCCAAAGCTAAAGTGTTTAGGAAAAAGGGTGTAGACTACATTGACTTGTTAGATGTCCTCTTTGCAAACTCCCAAGACACTAGCGCACTTGACCGTGCTTCAACCCAAGGACCCCCAACCTCTCATGAAGAAAGGGATATCCAAAGTGCATTCTTTGGTGTTGGTAACAACTCAAATACCGATTCTATCCTTGTTGGTGACGACATTGACGGAGATGATGACCTGAAGGTAGGTGGGAGTAATGGCAATGATGGTGGGCGAAAGGGTGCACACCTTTGATTTGGCACTTGATACATGGACTACCACGAACCTTGCAAAAAAAGAATTTTACGCACATCAGAACAAAATGGCTGAAGCGAGTCAGGCCAAGAAGAAACAATACTCCATTGATGCATGTATGGACTGTTTGGCAACAATGGACGGAATCACTCCTGGCCAATACGTTAAGGCGTGTGATAGTTTCCGCAATAAAGCAACGAGAAGATTTTTCATGAAGATGGTACCCAACATGAAGATGCATTGGGTTCGTAAGCTCGCTTAGGAATTAAGTTTGACAATGGATGCAATTTTGTTTTGTTAAGCATCCAATTTGGTGTAAGTCAATGTATACGGCTACAACATTAAAAATCTGCTCTTAATTTATTTTTATTTTTTAATCCGTGTATTTCATCTGTGTACTATGGCTATGTAAGGAACTTGGAGGCTGTATCAAATTATGAGTTTGTCTGTCATGACCAAAACATTAGATGCATATTTCATATTCAAGTTTGGGACTGCAAAGAACTTCTGTTGTTACTTATGCAATGAATTGTCGACCAATGAGGTTGAATAGAGAAGCCTATACTATTCACACCCCTAACATGTTTGCTTGCTACAATTACTCATGCTTAACAAAATTTATATAGTGTTGCTTGACCATGGAACAGACAGACTAATGTTGGGATTTTGTAAGCCTGATGCTTTTAGGCAAATCAGTGAGTTTACACATGATAATAAACTCACTGATTTGCCTAAAAGCATCAGGCTTACAAAATCCCAACATTAGTCTGTCTGTTCCATGGTCAAGCAACACTATATAAATTTTGTTAAGCATGAGTAATTGTAGCAAGCAAACATGTTAGGGGTGTGAATAGTATAGGCTTCTCTACTCAACCTCATTGGTCGACAATTCATTGCATAAGTAACAAATCAAACAAAAAATAGAGAGAGCCACCTTAATTGCCTTACAGATCATTTTTATGAGTACTGTGATGTCACTTAGTATCATACAGCAAAAAAAAGATAGAAATTGAATTTTGGCCTTTCTTGATTTCCTTAAACCAACCAGCTGTTTTCCGTTGTGTTCTGCATCCTGTAAATATGTAGCAGACTTGGTAAACAGTACTGTTCTGTCTTAGGGTGTATTTCAATCATGAATTTGGATACAAAATTGTGTGTGAATTCCCTACCGAATATAGTACATCTCATATTGTGTTTTTGGAACTTGTTTTGACCAAGATTTTATTTCAAACACATCATTTGGATTTTATGGTTACTATCATTGACTTCCATTTTGATTTACTAAATTCCATTTCTCATAATATGTTGATAAACCATCCAAAAGAGCATATAAAACATTATTCAATTTTCTTTATAGCTTTCTCTCCTCCAACAGGAAGTTGCACTTATTTCTTTACTTTTATTGTTGTCATCGTTGTTGATGTAGTGACACCGTCAATTTCTTGTGGTCGATTCGATCTCCTCTGTACCAAGAGTCGCGAGGCGAGGAGTAAGCTCTTTCAACCCTTGTAATTGTATTCTATGTACTTTTCGACAACATATTGTTCATTCATATCATAATGTTATCGTCCATCTACTAAACAACAATGAACACGAGGACCCCTATTTACTAAAGTACACTGTACAGTTCATTTACAAGGACCCCCATTTACTGTAGACGCTTTCAAGACGAAGCAACAGACAGGACACACATCGGACTCTATTGCATTTTGTTGTGGTGAAAACGACGTAGAGGTAAATATTACTCCGCTGAATTTTGTAAATGTGTTACATGCATTGTTTAGCGAAACATGAATGCATAGTAAACCCATGACTTACTTCACACGTGTAATACGTGTATGTCACAAATGGACAGTGAAGGGTTCGTTGAGAATGCGCAAGACCTGAGGTTGTGGCCAAGCAGGATTGAGTTGGCCATTATACAACTAATGGTCGAAGAGGTGAAGCAAGACCCTTCGTTAACCAAAAATAAACTCTTTCACCACAAGGCATTGGAGTCGGATTGACGATGAGCTGTACAATCAGTTCAAAGTTAGGTACACGGTTAACCGTTTGAAACAAAAGTACCACCGCATCAGGCAAGCTTACAATACATTTGTGAAAGTGAAGAACCATACGGGGTTCAGCTGGGACGACTAGAGGAAAACGGTCGTGGCCCCGGATGATGTTTGGGATCAATATGTTAAGGTAACTACCACCACCTTAGATTTGAGTACAACCTTTGTACTGTAGTATGTTAACTGTTAAGTGACTTATTTTCCACATCTTTTGTTGTCTTATTTTTGTAGGCACATCCCAAAGCTAAAGTGTTTAGGAAAAAGGATGTAGACTACATTGACTTGTTAGATGTCCTCTTTGCAAATTCCCAAGCCACTAGCGCACTTGACCGTGCTTCAACCAGAGGACCCCCAACCTCTCGTGAAGAAAGGGATATCCAAAGTGCATTCTTTGGTGTTGGTAACAACTCAAATACCGATTCTATCCCTGTTGGTGACGACATTGACGGAGATGATGACCCGAAGGTAGGTGGGAGTAGTGGCAATGATGGTGGGCGAAAGGGTGCACACCTTGATTTGGCACTTGATACATGGACTGCCACGAACCTTGCAAAAAAAGAATTTTACGCACATCAGAACAAAATGGCTGAAGCGAGTCAGGCCGAGAAGAAACAATACTCCATTGATGCATGTATGGACTGTTTGGCAACAATGGACGGAATCACTCCTGACCAATACGTTAAGGCGTGTGATAGTTTCCGCAATAAAGCAACCCAACATGAAGATGCATTGGGTTCGTAAGCTCGCTTAGGAATTAAGTTTGACAATGGATGCAATTTTGTTTTGTTAAGCATCCAATTTGGTGTAAGTCAATGTATACGGCTACAACATTAAAAATCTGCTCTTAATTTATTTTTATTTTTTAATCCGTGTATTTCATCTGTGTACTATGGCTATGCAAGGAACTTGGAGGTTGTACCAAATTATGAGTTTGTCTGTCATGGCAAGAACATTAGATGCATATTTCATAATTAAGTTTGGGACTGCTAAGAACTTCAATGAGGTTGAACAAAGAAGCATGTACTATTCACACCCCTAACATATTTGTTTGCTTGACCATGAAACAGACAAACTAATGTTGGGATTTTGTAAGCCTGATGCTTTTAGGAAAATCAGTGAGTTTACACATGATAATAAACTCACTGATTTGCCTAAAAGCATCAGGCTTACAAAATCCCAACATTAGTCTGTCTGTTCCATGGTCAAGCAACACTATATAAATTTTGTTAAGCATGAGTAATTGTAGCAAGCAAACATGTTAGGGGTGTGAATAGTATAGGCTTCTCTATTCAACCTCATTGGTCGACAATTCATTGCATAAGTAACAACAGAAGTTCTTTGCAGTCCCAAACTTGAATATGAAATATGCATCTAATGTTTTGGTCATGGCAGACAAACTAATAATTTGATACAGCCTCCAAGTTCCTTACATAGCCATAGTACACAGATGAAATACACGTATTTAAAAAAAAAATTAAGAGCAAATTTTTAATGTTGTAGCCGCATACGTTGACTTACACCAAACTGGACGCTTAACAAAACAAAATTGCATCCATTGTCAAACTTAATTCCTAAGCGAGCTTACGAACCCAATGCATCTTCATGTTGGGTACCATCTTCATGAAAATTCTTCTCGTTGCTTTATTGCGGAAACTATCACACGCCTTAACGTATTAGTCAGGAGTGATTCCGTCCATTGTTGCCAAACAGTCCATACATGCATCAATGAAGTATTGTTTCTTCTCGGCCTGACTTGCTTCAGCCATTTTGTTTTGGCGTGCGTAAAATTTTTTTTTTGCAAAGTTCGTGGCAGTCCATGTATCAAGTGCCAAATCAAGGTGTGCACCCTTTCGCCCACCATCATTGCCACTACTGCCACCTACCTTCAGGTCATCATCTCCGTCAATGTCGTCACCAATAGGGATAGAATCGGTATTTGAGTTGTTACCAACACCAAAGAATGCACTTTGGATATCCCTTTCTTCATGAGAGGTTGGGGGTCCTTGGGTTGAAGCACGGGCAAGTGCGCTAGTGGCTTGGGAGTTTGCAAAGAGGACATCTAACAAGTCAATGTAGTCTACACCCTTTTTCCTATACACTTTAGCTTTGGGATGTGCCTACAAAAATAAGACAACAAAAGATGTGGAAAATAAGTCACTTAAGAGTTAACGTACTGCAGTACGAAGGTTGTACTCAAATCTTAGGTGGTGGTAGTTACCTTAACATATTGATCCCAAACATCATCCGGAGCCACAATCGTTTTCCTCTAGTCATCCCAGCCGAACCCCGTATGGTTCTTCACTTTCACAAATGTTTTGTAAGCTTGCCTGATGCGGTGGTACTGTCGTTTCAAACAGTTAACCGTGTACCGAACTTTGAACTCATTGTACAGCTCATCATCAATCCGACTCCAATGCCTTGTGGTGAAAAAGTTTTTTTTTGGTTAACGAAGGGTCTTGCTTCACCTCTTCGACCATTACTTGTATAAAGGCCAACTCAATCCTGCTTGGCCACGACCTCAGGTCTTGCGCATCCTCAACAACCCCTCACTGTCCATCTATGACATACACGTATTACACGTGTGAAGTAAGTCATGGGTTTACTTAAGTGATGAGCTCTAACTTCTTAAAAATACTAAGTTACAACCTCGAACAGAAATGTCAAGTGAGTTGTTTACACAAGAAAAATAAAATGAATGTGTTTGTACAATTACAATTGTAGAGTACTACATGGATAAAAGTTTTTTTCGTTTGCAACAGTAGTGACATGTTGCACATGGCAACTAATTTTATAGCATAAGTTGCAACTATCCAAACCAAGTTTAATAGACATGTCTAACATTTATACGGGTATTCCGTATGTGTAAACAAGAAGGTTTGGTAGAATGTAATATTCTGTGTACAAAAAAAAAAATTCCGATGAATAGAGTAAGCTTTTTGGAATGCATTCATGTTTCGCTAAACAATGCATGTAACACATTTATAAAATTCAGCGGAGTAATATTTACCTCCACGTCGTTTTCACCACAACAAGATGCAATAGAGGCCGGTGGGTGTCCTGTTTGTTGCTTCGTCTTGCAAGCTTCTACAGTAAATGGGGGTCCTTGTAAATGAACTGTACAGTGTACTTTAATAAATGGGGGTCCTCGTGTTCATTGTTGTTTAGTAGATGGACGATAACATTATGATATGAATGAACTATATTCAACGAATATATTGTCGAAAAATACATAGAATACAATTACAAGGGTTGAAAGAGCTTACTCCTCGCCTCGCGATTCTTGGTACAGAGGAGATCGAATCGACCACAAGAAATTGACGGTGTCACTACATCAACAACGGTGAAAACAATAAAAGTAAAGAAATAAGTGCAACTTCCTGTTGGAGGAGAGAAAGCTATAAAGAAAATTGAATCATGTTTTCTATGCTCTTTTGGCTGGTTTATCAACATATTATGAGAAATGGAATTTAGTAAATCAAAATGGAAGTCAATGATAGTAACCATAAAATCTAAACGATGTGTTTGAAATAAAGTCTTGGTCAAAACAAGTTCCAAAAACACAATATGAGATGTACTATATTCGGTAGGGAATTCACACAATTTTGTATCCAAATTCAAGATTGAAATACACCCTAAGACAGAGCAGTACTGTTTACCAAATCTGCTACATATTTACAGGATGCAGAACACAACGGAAAACAGCTGGTTGGTTTAAGGAAATCAAGAAAGGCCAAAATTCAATTTCTATCTTTTTTTTGCTGTATGATACTAAGTGACATCACAGTACTCATAAAAATGATCTGTAAGGCAATTAAGGTGGCTCTCCTCTATGATTTGTTTAATGTGAATCATATTTCTTAGCAGTCACACCTTTTCGTCCACAGTTTTGTTTGGATTGTTTTTTGTGAAGACATAAGCAAGTATGAGATAGTTTTAGATAACCCAAAAATAAGACTTTGGGTTTGAAAAAAAAAGGGAAAACCAATAATTAAATTTATGTGTAAATGAAGTTTGCATGCTTTATTTCATCAAGAAAATGAGTAAAAATCAACCAGATTGACAGTAAATGTTGTACAAACAAGTTTCATAAAATTCATTTTGTGATGGGCTTGTGTTCTTGATATTTTAGTAAGTTGTACTAAAAGCTTACTCAAGTCCCAGATTTATACACCAAACCAGAAGAATGTACCCAAAAAAAATTCTACTTTAATTCGAAAATGGAGGACTTAAATAGCGATTTTGAAACCATAGTTGGGAAAGGGGAAACTGTGACCACATTGCAATATGATGAAGCTAATTTTCCAAATGAAAAGTAGAAAATCTGCGCTTAGTATGCCCGAAATGTGGAACTTAGATTCTGAAATCGAAACCAAATACTCGTGAATCGGAAATTTCTTTTCGTTTCAAATGATGAAATTAATTTTCGAAATCACAACAGCAAACTGAAAGGGATTTTCAAATTAAACTAGGGATTTGGTGTATAAATCATTTCTATGTTGGACAAAATTTCATTTCTTACAAATTTATTAAGCAGAACGAAAATCAAAATCGAAAGGGGAAATGGAGATGAAATGAAAACAAAATGAACCACAATCCAAATGACTAACCTTTTCGTCGTCTAATCTTCGTCACCCGCAGCTCAAATCGACCACACCTGAACAGCGTCTTCGTCGGTGGCCATTGTTGTTGCTTCGGTGTGGTCGACCTTGGCATATCAACGGAAGCCAACTATGGAAAAGGTTTGGTAAAGGTAATAAATGGGCAAGGCAGAGGCTATGAGGAGTATATAAGTAGACTGTACTAATGCCTAGCTTCTTCACATCACATGAAGAATCAAATCCTGAAAATATCAATTTTTGAAAACGGAACTCATTTTTCAAAATAACCAAACAAGTTGTATAAAATTTTTAAAAAACTGTGTTTAAAAAACCACAACCAAACACAGTGATTCGTTTTGAAAAAAGAGTTTTCAAATCACTTTTTGGAACAATTTTTCAAAAAAATGGAACCAAACAAAGTGATTGGTACCCATATCAGCCCCAAAAAAAATAAATAAATAACAGAGTGCTATATTTTGGACTACTGCTACTTTTGCTGTTGTAGGAACTTTTACTATGTTCTAGTTACACATTTCATGTGTTGTTTGAAAGGAAGAATGGGAACTTGTATCAAAAGTATTTGGATTGATTATATTGATTGAATTGATCACAGATTGACGCATTAGAATGAGCCATTAAAAGGGTTTATACAAGAAAACGAGTCACAGCATACAAGAAATAAAAGTTGTCATGTGTATGATTAATCATAGAATCATGTGTTTGAAATTTTTATATAATTCAATACTTAAAAATGTATTGAAACAAGGGAACAGAGAAATTCAAGGACAAATAATCTTTGGTTAACTTCAACCACTTTTGTCCAGTGTATGCATTGACTATCATTATATTGCATGTCTATAATTGACTTGATTTTTAATTATATTTATAATAATGTGTGGGATTTTAGATGGGGAAAAAAATCATCCAGCAAAAATTGAATAACAATATCAAAGCATTCACCACAGTTCCCAATATGAACTTGGAAGCCGATATCAAATGGACTAAAAACTGATACGAGCACTCTCAAAGCTGCACAAAAAGAGCAATGTCATTAAGTATGGTCTAAATGAAAGACAACGTATCCACTCCAGTTGCAGAAAAATCACATTTACGCATGTGTTGTTACAATGAAATAAAATCGACAACTACTGAATGTTAGACAACAGCTAAAGTGAAATCTAAAATCCTTATCATCTACGAAGATAAAATGAAAAAAGCACCTTGACCTAATCACGCGGATGAACAGATGATGGTACACAGCTTTAAGCATCAACTATAACAAAATGGTAGAAAATTCAATGTGACACTGTAGAACTTCAAATTCCATTTGTCAGAGTGAAAAACTGAGAATTCAAACTCGCTTATAGAAGACAAATTTCAATTGATTGCCCGGTTATTGGTTTCAAATTAAATAATAGTATAAATAAGAAATATTCATAGTTTGAAAAAAGTACCAAATTTACCACACAAACAGTAAGTACAGAGAATACACATGTAGTTGCCTAAACAATCACAGTAGTTATCAACAAGAAGTTAATAATCTTAAATGAGATGAAGACACTAACCTTAACAAGAAGGCTGCGGAACTGTGACTTAACCCAACCCACCCATTTTCCTAACTCATCTTGATCAGAAGCTGCAAGACATATTTTGACAAATCATGTGTCCTTTTTTTGTATACAGAAAAGGCTCAAATAGGCAAGCCCAACCAAAATGTGGTCTCAGGATATCCTGCAATGCCAAGAAAAACGATAGCTTAAGCAAATCCATTTATGAATAATAATAAAAATAATAAAACCACACTCTCAGATTCCAAAAATACATCACAAACAACCATTGAAAGTAGTTATTAGTAAAAGGTACAAGAGATATTATAATAATGACATCCATTTAAAAAATGAAAGGTACCTTTGTCAAAGCATGCCCTCGGTGAAACTCTGTCCTGATTCAGTAGAAGGTGCTCTTGGTGATATTAGAATGGCAATATTCATGTGGTCTGCATGGAAGTCTAATGGGCATCAAGGACCGTATTTCACTGGCACTTATAGTCATGGGCACCATCCCATCTTGCAAAATTACTGGAGTTCGCCAATCCCAAGAGGCAAATGTCTTAAAGAAATTCGAAATCAAACCATTCAAGCTCACATTTGGGTGCCTTTGACAAATAAATGCCACAAGAATAGTTAAATGGACTCCGCCAAAAAACCCAAGTAACTGCACATACGAGTATAATTAATAGGATTCCTTTACCCTTGACAGAGGCGAGGGGAGAACACATAAAGACAAATCTCAAATGTGACCCTATACCAAGCTAATATGCCCTTACATTACCATACAATCCTCGCCTTTTCGCCCATAATTTAACACATCGCAGTAGTGATTTGAATACCTGGAATAGAACAATCCGAGAATATATGAGATCTACAAGAACTTTGAAAGCACCACCTAGCACACAAAAAATGAGAGCTGAAAGAGAATGATTATCATGCATATATTAATATCAAGGTGGCAGCAGTTTCGAAAACGAAACCCCACAGGTATTCATGGTTTGATGCCATAGAGAGCATGCTAATAAGAATTAGCTAAATTATTTCCTAATGCAGGTCCAAATTCAAGAAATAGAGACAAATTCTGCTCTGGCATTCAACCATGAAAACCAGCAAAACTACTTTGCACCTAGAACAAAAATAATTACTGTAGGAACCCATAGATAGCATGCTTGATACCTCCATGTTCGGGAGAAGCCGAAGAATGCATTTGTTAGCATGAACTCCAGACAAACTTCTCCAGCTGGTTTCGTCAATGTTTCTTAGAAAGAAAGGGTTGAGTATGTCCACATTCTGCTGATTATAACATGGCAAGTCAAATCTCCAACAGGAAAAAAAAAAAAACACAGAAGAAGAACAAATAATGCACAGAGTTTATATAACGAGATTGTTGAAATACTAATTTCCAACATGCTGATGAAAAGAATGGGGGAATTTATTAAAATCAGCACCCAAAAAATAAAAGTAAAAAGATCTCTTGACAGGTATAGTTTTAGATAGAGAAATCTACATACTATCTACGCACACTGATGATGCCTTGTGTATATGCAGAAACAACTGTAAGGAAGTGACTGTTTTGAAAGAGTTGGTGGTCTACATGCAATGCACATCAGCTCAGGAAAGACATTACTTTAAGTTGAGGCATATGGAAGATCAATGAAATCCATCAAGTTTCGAAACTGCATTGAGGAACTTTTGCATTCCTTGACGCACGTGGAACTCAGATACTTCTGTCTGCTTGTGACGGACGGTT